ATTAAACCCTTTCATTACCAATTTTATATAGAGTTGTTGCTGTTGTTAGATGTCATCAAGCCAGTCTGGGGACCTGCACCATCCTCAACATCTGTTTTCCTGTTTTTCTATGTTTGAGCCTATTGCTGCAGCCACTGTGTCCATTCATTGAGTTTCCTTTTTCGATGATCCTCTATTTAACAATTATCTTGTCCTTCTTTGGTGACTGGTCCGTCCTAATCACATATCCATCCTTCCATCTAAGGTCCGTTCTTGCTGTACTTCTTCCAAGAAAGATTTGTTCATTCTTATTACAGTCCATGGTATATTCAATATTCTTGGCCAACACCATAATTTAAAGGAATCAATTTTCTGTGGTCTTCCTTGTTCATTGTGCAGCTTTCACATGCATATGAGGCAGCTGACAATTCCATGGCTTAAATTAGAAGCATCTTAATCTCCAAACTGACATCTTTGCTTCTTAAATGGATCATTTGTGGTGAATTTGCCCAATGCAATACCTCATTTGATTCCTTGACTGATGTTTCCAGGGGAAAATTATTGTGAAATCAAGCAAAATCCTTGACAACTTCAACCATTTCACATTTATCATGGAGCTGCTTGCTAGCACAGTTGCGAGGATATTTGTTTTCTTTTTGTTTAGGTGTAATCTTTACAAAAGCACTGTTGTATTGATCATCATCAGTAAGTGTTCACGTCTTCTTTACTTTCAACAAGCAAAGTTTTGCATTTGCAAATCAGTCTGCTAGTGAGACTTCTCCTGATCCAGATGCCTTGTTTTGCTTCAGATTGTTCCCTTTTTTTATTAGTTGCTTAGTATAGAGATTTAATATAAAGGATGAAAGGACATAATCCTTGCACATATCTTTCCTTAAAGCAAGCAATAGTCCCTTGTTTTGCTGTGGTCTATTTACGGTTTCTGTATGAGTATAACCAAGTGTTCCTGAACTCCCATTTTTGAAATGGTGACCATAATTTGTTATGATCCACACAGTGGAATAACATCACATAGTCAATTAACACAGGTAAGCATATTTTTGGTACTTTCTGCTTTCCGTCAAATTACACCTGATATTATCAATGATATTTCTTGCTTCTTATTCTACTCTATATTTGGCTTGAATTTCTGACAGTTCCTTGTTGGCATACTGCTTTAAATAATTTCAAATTATCTCCAGCAATATACTGTTAGCATGTGATAATAAATATGTTATCTGATAATTTCTGAACATTGTTGGATCACATTTCTTTTAAATGGGCACAAATACAAATATGTTCTAGTTTTGGCCAGGTAATGGTCTCTGCATTTCTTAACATATATGAATGCACATATCCAGGGCTACATTTATTTGTGTAAGCAATTCAATTGGTATTATGTCAAACTCTGACGCTGTTTTTTCCTGCAAAAAAAATAAGATGTGCAAAAACCATCAGAGTGCACATGGGGTAAGGAGACTCAAAATCCACATCAGCCCAAGGCTTATTCCTAGGAGACAAAAACACACATGCTGCAATCCTCCAATTGGCTTTACTAATTTTGAAACCAACCATCACTCCCCAGACATTCTTTGTTTTTCTTTCTAGGCTTTGATAATTCATTGCAATGGCCAGACAGAACCAAAAGGATATATCACAAACACGAGGTTCATTAGGGAAATTTTTACTGTTGTTAGGTGCCCTTGAGTTGGTTCTAACCCACAGTGACCCTATGTACAACAGAAGGAAGCACTGCCTCACAAGTGTTCCTATGGCTGAGTCCTTTGTTAATGCCACTGTGTCAATCCATCTTGTTGAGGGGCTTTCTTTCTTTCGTTTTGTACTGTCCTTGTATTTTACCAAGCATGATGTCATTTTCCAGGGACAGGCATTTCCTGATAACATATTCAAAGTATGTGAGACAAAGTTTCACTATCCTCGCTTCTAAGGAACATTCTGACTGTATTTCTTCCAAGACAGATGTGTTTGTTCTTTTAGTTGCCAATGACACTTGCACTATTCTTCACCTGCAACATAATTCTGATGCATAGACTACTTTTTGAAAGTGAACTGGATGTAATTCTGCAAAATGAAAAAAAAATAACTCAAGCCAAAAAAAAGAAAAAAATGATGATAGCAACATATGTACACATATATTAATGCAATTTATGCATGGATTGTTATAAGAGCTGTAAAAGTTCCCAATAAAATTATCTTTAAATAAAATAAAATCTAATAAACTGAAATAAAACTTAAAAAAAAATTAAGGATATTGTTCTTATTAGGAGTGTCTCTCCTTAGCCATACCAGCAAGAAGGTCTCATTCTAGTCCTAAGTTCAAGTCCATGGGTCAGATGTTAAGTGGAGGCTTCTTCTGACTTTAAACTGATGAACCCAGATTGGCAGGACCACCACATGCTGGTAATTGCAGAGATGTATGTATTAATCCCAGGTCAGCATGTCAGGTTTGTGGCGTCAGAGGGGAATGAATCTAAGATTAGATGACATTTTGCTGACGGTTTCTGGGATTGGCAGGCAATTTGCCAGGCCACTGAATCAAATCCAAAGAAACAGAGGTTGGTGAGCCAGATCCACCCATCCAAAAACAAGCAAATTTTCCCAAAGCATGTTCTTATATAGAAAGTAGATCACAACTCCAAGGAAACTGTCTTTCAATTGCATCCTTACTTGAATAAGGAGGCTGCTTTCAACTCTAATCTTCTTCCAACTAGTGGGCTGCTCACAGTGTATCCAAATTACATTATTACATTGTGTTAGTAAAAGCCATGTGAGATTATTAAACCTTACCTGCCAAACCATTGAGAATACCAGTTTAGCCAGTCAGATTGACACAACACCTAACTATCACAGTGTCTTCAGTTGTTACCACATGTTTCAAAAGTTTCACTCAATAAAAGTAAAATTGCTAACATACAATGATTTTTGATACCTCCTCTTAGAACAAGAGTTCACTAGGACATAGGTATATAGATTCTAAACAATATTGATCAAAATCCATTCTATATAACAAAAATTTAAAAACTCTCTATGATTCTGCATTAGTGAGAAGACATTTATATCTAAAACAAATAATGACTCTAAAGAAAGTTAAAAAATTCATATCTCCTCTAAAATAAAAAAAGTTATAAAGATTTAGCACACCAACTGATGGGAAGGACAAAGAGCAACTGGAACTCTAAAATATGATTGAGAGCAATATAAAACAGTTTGGTGAATTTTCTTTTCTCATTTAAATTATTTGATTCACGAGAAATTGCAAAATTTTATAGAGAGTTCTTGTGTGCTTTTCACCCAGTTTCCCTAACAATGATACCTTAAAACTGTTGTATATTATTAAAACCAGGAAATTGACATTGTGCAGTACCGATAACTGAATAACCTTCCTTAGATTTCATTGGATTTTGTAGTGGCTAGTGTTTAGAGTGATAGATGGCTGAATGAACTTGGCCCTGTAGATTCAAAGCGGACAGCAGTAGAAAGAAAGTGCTAGATACTAAAGAAGGGTGATATTTCATGCTCTGTGTAGCCTTTGATGGCTGGAGTACAGCAGAGGGAAGGAGTGCTCCTAACCCAAGTTCTGTAGCTAACCCTTGAACAATTTCGAGATTTGGACAATTTTACTGATTGTGGGCTTGCAGGTCCCTCTTAATCTTTGTTGATAGGATTAAACCATTTAGAAGAGGTGATGGCCTAAATTCTGCCCTGCAGATCTCTGGATGTCTACAAGTAAAGTGCTGGGAGACCCAGGTATCTCATGATCTCATTTTCTGTAATATTTCACTCTTCAGCCTGCTTGAGAATTTAACAGACAAGGGTGTGTATTATTCCTTTTTAATAATAAAATATATTGTCCACTCATCACCCTAAATAATTTTGGTTTAAATTATACTTGGTGTTTTTCTATACGCACAAGCACATACATGTAAGCACATTACATTTGATTGTATATGTATATATGCTTTTTTCCCCCTCTCTGTTTTTTTCTTCCCCAAACTGAATAATTTGCATGTTGCTCTCTTATAGGTTGTTTTATTTTTTAACACTATGAACTCATTCTTTGTTAATAAATACATGTGTCTGCCCATCAAACTTAATTTCTGGATAATTTTGAAATGTAAAGGAAGTGTTTTTTGAATCGTCAAATTTTATAATGTTGAAAATCCATTTCTAACTTTCAGAAGTCTTATTAATAATTTGAAAACTCTCTTGTGTATCGTATATTTGAAAACAAAAATAATGTCCTTATGATAAATACCTTAAAAGCAGTTTCCTGAGTCAATGTATTTTTTGTTTACCATTTTATACTGAAATATTTTGAAGTATATATTCTCAATAATACTGTTCTTTAGAGTCTTTTTGGTATTGGCTTATTTGATAGTAGAAAATTTCCCCACTGTTGTTTTACACGGATACTGTTGATTATCATGGAAGCTAAGCAGATTGTTATATGGTTATTTGTCACATATTTCCTTTTTCATAAATTGTAAATTATTTGCTCACTTTTCAATCTAGAATATTTACTTTATTTATAAGGTATATAGAAATAATATATGACACTTTGTCTATTATATATACTGCTAATAATTTTAGTGTTTGTTAAATTTTTAAAGCTTGCTTATGAATGCTTTTGTTTTTTTGCAAGTAATTTGCTTAGGTTTCTGCCTACAGGTGTTTTAATATTTATCTAGTTAAATTTAATAATCTTTACCCTTATGATGCCTTTCCCTCAATTGTGTGTATATGTAATAAAGCATACACACTTCTCTATACACATTCATGTGTTTGGAGGGGGATGGGAAGAACAAGGAGTAGTGAGAGGATGTGACCTCACAGAACCTGCTGACGCAATGCTCCTAGCAACAATGTTTACAAGAGTGCAAAGCAATGAGCTTAGAAGTCATGGAGACCTTCATATATAATCTTCACAGGCTTTCCTAGATTTACGTTACTCTTAACTTCATTGTCTACAATTTTTAGAAAGAGTGAAGCTTGACCTAACAAACATGGACGCCCCTGGTGAAATCCTGTCCCAGACCAAATCTGTGGTCCAAGAAACTCCAATCATATTGAATACTGACACAGGCAAAAACGCAGTTTTTGCATCACCGGAGGGTCAGAGGAAGTGGAAAGGGTTCCTTCCCCCTGAGTCCATCAAGATCCTCCGTGATTGGCTGTATGAACACAGGCACAGCACCCACCCGTCAGCGGTGGAGAACAAAATGCTGTCGGAGCAGACCAATTTGTCTTTACGACAGATCTCTTTCTGGTTCATAAATGCTCGCAGAAGAATTCTCCCCCAAATACTTCAACAAGATGGAATCAATCCCAAGCAGAGCAACATGAAATATCAAAATGGCAAGCACAGAGAAATGATGCATATGCAGAGCACAAATTCATTTACATGTGCCAACTCAGGGTCCAGAAATATGGGCACAGCACAATCCCTGCACCTGTGTCCCCTGCTGAAAAATACACTCTTAGGGAAGAAACTTCTGCATGCAGTGTTAGCCCCAGGCCAGATGCTGGACATCCAGCCAAAGAAAAAGTTCAAGATTTGCACTAGCAAGCCCTTGCCTATGTCTTCTCCTGACCCTGTTATATAGCTGTGCGGAGGGCTGACGAAGTGAAGTTGCAGAAGAAACAACCCAGTCCGTGATTTTCCTGAATAACTCACGTAGGCAGTTCTCTGTCTACTATGGAAGACCTATTAATAGTCAACTAGTTTTGTTTTTTGTTTTTTTCTTTTGCCTTTTATAAAGACATATTTTCTTCTATGGGTTTTATAAGAATCATTGTTACCTATTGGGACTAAATTCTGCCCCAATATTTCAATGTCTCTAGATGGGCGATAACTAATTTACCATTACAATGAACATTGCAGCAAAGTTCTTTATTTGTTATGCTTGTTCAAGATAGAAACACTTCAGACAATTTGACCAAAGCATAAGGAACTATACATTGTGATAAGACTTGGAAGAATGCTTTGGACTTTCCAGCCCGGCCTTTTGGTCCCAATATTGTTGCAGATATCAAATCATCCATCTTTCCCCCTTTTCTGTAATCTTTCTTGTTTATTTACATTATGGAAAAGTCTCTATAAAACATGGCTATAATAGCACTTATTGTACTTTTTTTGAAATTCAGTTCTTTTTTCCTTTGCACAATTTCTTCCCTAGTTAAGGTAATCAGTGGATTTGCCAACATTTTACAGTAAGGACAAACAACTCGTTGCAGCGCCAATGAAACGTTCACAGTAGAGATAAAATGCCAAATGCCAATGCTCTGCTCGTGTTGATTAGATGGTTGGTTTTAGAAAATACTTTTTATTAGCTTTAATTCTCTGGGTAAGAGGGAAAAGACGACTGACTAAAAAATTCCCTGAAAGAGATAGAACCAAAGGAAGGTAGTTTGAAAAAGAAGCAAACAAAACCATATGTGAAAAGAAGAAATAGATCCATACCTTAAATTTTTGGGCAAAAGAAAGTAGGCACAGGTTTTCTATTGTGGATGTATTTATTTTTTACATTTTTATTTTCTTTTAAAATCCTTGTATTGGTGGAGAGGGAGTATCCAAATGTTTTATTCAATGCTACTTAGAAATAACTTAATATTTTTATAAAATAAACAGGCTAACATCTCCTAAGTGCAGCTCTGGAAATAGGAATACTAGTTATAGGAAGATATTCAGTGTTTTAAGGTATATATGAGTTCAAGGAAATTCAGACAGTGTGATAGGCTAGGTTGAATAGAGAAATAAATCCAGTGATACTCATAAATGTGGAAGAAAGAACTTTATATGAAGAATAAGTTATACATGGAGAAAACATCCCAGCCCATTCCAACTCAAGTACATAAGTCCGATAATAGTCAATAAGTCCTTCTTCAGACTCATACAGCCACATGCAATTGATGCAGAATGCAGGAAGATCTTAGACTAGTGGGTAGAAAGTCATGTGTATCCCATGGTGCAATTCATCATAGGGCTCTGTCCGCAACCAGGATCAGCCAGCAGGAAAGTGAAAGGTGTGGGGGAGTGGGGGAGGGAGATGCTGAGGCTCCCATGACCCTCCTCATGAAAAGGCCACACCCACAAAAAGTCAACATCAGGCTAGACTCCACCTTTGTACTCTTTTTTAAAAATCATTTTATTGGGGGCTCATACAATTCTCATCACAATCCATACATGCATCCATTGTGTCAATCACATATGTACATTTGTTGCCATCATCATTCTCAAAACATTTGCCTTCTACTTGAACCCTTAATATAGGCTCCTAATTTTCCCCCTACCTTCCCCCTCCCCCCTCCCTCAGGAACCCTCCATAATTCATAAATTATTATTTTGTCATATGTTACACTGTCTGATGTCTCCTCCTGCCCTCTTCTCTGCTGTCCATCCCCCAAGGAGGAGACTATACGTAGATTCTTGTAATCAGTTCCCCCTTTCCACCCCACATTCCCTCCACCCTCCAGGCATTGCCACTTTCACCACTGGTCCTGAAGGGGTCATCTGTTCTGGATTCCCTGTGTTTCCAGTTGCTATCTGTACTAATGTACATCCTCCTATGTATCTTCAAATTGACATGAAATTATATAACTACCACAGATGGGATTTGTTTAAATACTTTCTTACTGAGGACAACTATAAACACACCAAAAAATACCGATACCAATTTGTTCAGAACCTCAGTTTGGACCATATTTTAAATATATAAGATTTCATGATTAAAGTAGGATATTCTGAACTCTCCCTACTATTTTGTCTCATTTTAAACTTTTATTTCCTTTTATTAAGAATTGAGTAAAGCTTTACAGAGCAAATCAATTTTTCACTGGATAAATTCATACACATTTCTTTTTCATCACATTGACTGAAGTTCACCGAATAAAACATTTCTTATCCCAATTCCTCCCTATCTCTTTTGTTTCCATTCCTCTTTCTTTCCTAATATTTTGGAAATGCTGCACTTTTAATTTCAAATGACTGCTTATTCTAAGGTGTATGTGCTTCTGCAGTTTCATCCCCCGACCCTATAGACTTACCTATTGTTTGGTTGAAATTGAACCATGGAGAATGAGCTAATTTCCAGTCCTAAAAGGTGACTAAAGACTATTGTCTCAAGGTTTCCACCATTCTGTATTTGACTGTAAGCCTGACCTTCTTTATTATTTTGATTTTCCCCACATTTTAAAAAACATTTTGCTGACATATACTTTCTGTATGATATTATTCATTGATTTAATATAGTAAAAAGAGTTGTGAAATTATCAACACAATCAATTTCAGATCATTTCTTAATTCTTGTATCCATTATTATTAGCTCCCCATTTCCCCAGAAACCCTGGCATAACCCTAAGGGATCTATTAATCTAATTACTATATCTGTAAATTAACCTATTCTGGAGTTCATATAAAAAAAACTCTACCATAACCAGAAAAAAACAAACATCAGTAACAACAAAATAAAACAGATAAACTTCAATCCTAAGAAAAAGGCAGAAAATCATGAACAATAGAACAAGTTAAAAATGAGTCAAAAGGGAAAATAAATGGTAAGATTTTAAATTTCAAGCTAATTATATCTGAAATAATGTTATTCCAATCTATCCAGGATCTTCCAGTGTGATCCTTTTCTGAGAAGTTGAAAGCAGGCACCAGGTAACTAAGAACTATCAACTCTCGAGCTCTTTTAATCTCAGGGTCCTGGAAAATGATGTTTACAAGGTTTGTTAGTCCAGTTGACTAATTGTTTGCATATGTCTTTGATTTTAATCACTTGAATGTGTGGAATGTATATATCTATATATAACTTTGAGAAGAATAATAAATTGAGAACGCTTTATTTTGCTTCTGCAGAACTTGTACATGGATCAAGAGGCAGTTGTGCAAACAGAAAAAAAGGTATAATTCATGGCTTAAATTCAGAAAATATTCATGTCCGGGTTTTAATCTCTCACCATACTTGTTCACTCTGTTTGCTGAACAAACATTCAGAGAAACTGGATTATATGAAGAAGAATTTGGCAGACGGAAGGAATTGGTGGAAGGCTTATTAACAACCTCACATATGCAGATGACATGACCTTGCTTAATGAAATCAGGGAAAACTTGAAGCATTTGACAATGACTATGAAGGATTTCAGCCTTCAGTATGGGTTACAACTAAATGTAAGGAAGACTCATCACAACTGGATCATCATTATAATGATTGGTTTGAAGAAAATGTTGAAATTGTCAAGGCTTTTATCTTGCTTAGGTTCACAATCAATGCTCACGGAAGTAGCAGTCAAGAGATCAAAAGGTGGGTTGCATTAAATAAATATGCTGCACAAAATCAGAGTATTGAAAAGCAATACTGTTAGGTTGAGGACTAAAGTGTACCTGACCCAAGCCATACATAGTATTTTCCATTGGTTCATATACATTCGAATTTTGGACATTGAATAAGGAAGACCAAAGAATAATTTGAAATGTGGTGCTGGAGAAGAATATTAAAAGTACCATAAACTGCCAAAAGGGCAAACCAATTGCTCTTGGAAGTACAGCCAGAGTGCTCTTTAGAAAGGAGTCTTCCTCTCGAATACTTTGGACTTGATATCAGGAAAAACCAGTTCATGGAGAAAAACATCAAACTAGGTAAGGTGGAGGGTCAGTGAAAAAGAGGAAGGCCATAAATGAAACGGGTTGCCTCATTATTGCCAAAATGAACTCAGGCATGTAAACAAGTGAGTATGAGGAAGGACAGTGCGGTGTTTGGTTCTGTTTTGCATAATGTCTTTATGGGTTGGAGCCAACTCCGTGGCACCTAACAACAGTAACACATACGGGTTCTGCATAAGCACAACTAAGTGTTCTAGAGTTCCAATTCTTCTTCTTTTTTTTAAATCATTTTATTAGGGGCTCATACAACTCTTATCACAATCCATACACACATCAATTGTGTAAAGCGCATTTGTACATTCATTGCCCTCATCATTCTCAAAACATTTTCTCTCCACTTAATTCCTTGGCATTAGGTCCTCATTTTTCCCCTCATTATCCAGAGTCAGTTATGAATCTCATACTTGAATGCCTTTACATTCACTAAAACTCAAGTAATCATCTTTCTGGTATTCTCTGCATTCAGCCAAGATCCGTGTTCCATGTCCTCTTAAATATTGGCTGGTAGTTCTCTGGTAGTTCCCAATCAATGTACTGCTTCAAACATTGTTGGATGATTTTCAGCAACATTTTGCTTACATGTGCTATCAGTGATACAAGACTTTCCACCCACTGGCCTGTGATCCTGCATTCGGCCTCATTGCATCTGTTGCTTGAGTCTGAAGAGGAATTTATGAAGTGGTATCAGACATTGGGGCTAACATCGGATTTATGGACTTGATCTGGACTGGGCTGGGATGTTTTCTTAATATACAATAACTCTTTGATATAAAGCTCCTTTTTATACATACCTAAGTGTCCCTGAATTTGTTTCTCTAGTCAACCCTGTCTAACACAGGTAGGATGTTGACGAAAAATTTTATTGTCTGTATTTATGAGATTAGTTTGTTATTTACTTTTTGACTGATATCTTTGCCAGGATTTGGTATCAGGATTGTGCTT